AACCATTCGAGTCACGGAGGCAACGTTGTTTTGTTGCTCTTTCCGCTGATCGATTGGTGAATCGTCATCATCGGCACGCGGTGACCCATGGGGTCGGAATCGTGCGGCTGATACTGTCGGAAAGTCTCGCGATCGTTTCTCTATTTTTTTTCTTCCAAAACGCATTCTCACCGCCGTCACGACGCGTACTTTCCGGCGCGGTTTCCTAGTCGCTAGCAGCTGATAGGCGACCGCAGATAGCGACGCTCGTGCGAAGGCACCGGTAACAACCAGCTGAGTGGCGCCAGCCATCAGCTGTTGGTGACTCACGCGAGTCGACCAAGAGAGAGAGAGAGAGAGAGAAAGAGAGCCGCGGACACACAGTCGCGCCTGTACACACCAATACTAGCGCGCGTGCGCCAGAATGCGCCTACACACAGGCGCACACACACACACACACACGCACACATATACGTGAACGACGCGCTTCCACGCTTTTTCCGCCCGTCGACGAGGTAAACCGTGCACCTGCACGACGTAGAAGCCACGGGCGATTCAGGTAACTCTCCATCGTGCTCGCCCTTTTTCCCCTCCGTTTTACCGCCTCCCGTATTTTCTTTTTATCCTCTTTTTATTCGAGCCGCGGCGTCATCGCCCGTCAACGCGCCGACGCGTCTATAATTAGAAGTAATCGCGACCGGCGGATGTCCTCCAAAGTGTACTCATTCGCCGGTGAAGATCGCTAATCGCCGCAGAGAGGGAGAAAGAGAGAGAGAGAGAGAAAGATACAGCGTGTGGAGGCGCAACGTTGTTGCGCGTGTTGGCTGACTCGATGTGCCATATGGTCGAGCGACCGAGCGACGCCCGTGCTCGTCTGCTGTGTTGGGAGAAATTAGCCTTGAGCGCTTTTTCCGTCGTGCCTCGATCCCGAGGAGATAATCTTCGACGTTGTTGCACGTAACACCGGCGGGACGATAATAGAAATTGCGTGCTCCTTGTAGTTGAGAATGCTTTAACGTGACTAGCGGCACGTGTAGTGTCGAGCGTCGTGTTATCGTCTAAGAAGTTATCTCTTGCGGGTTTGACTGCCGGTTATCGTAGTGGCACGGACCGACCGAGTCAATCGCGGCTCATATAGTCCTCTTGTAAAAAAATATTGTAAGGCAAGCGACGAGAAGAATCCATGGGAATCTGTGGATATACGAAGGAACAAAAAGTGAGACGTCACCGGTTCGGCAAAAGAATGTGTGCGATATAAGTAATAATAAAAGCACACTTAAGATATGATAGCAATGTTCGGTAAAAAAATTCCATAAGGTGACATATGAGAACTGTGATATAAGTGATACACGAGACCACGAGATATACGAGATAAGCAAGCGAAGATACGAAGATTAGGTGATAGGGTTATCGTAAGCACGAACGAACGTATTCTCCCTCGTACGATGGCGGGATTTCAGGGTGAAAAGGAAGGTAGCCGTCCACCTCGTCGACCTACTTCGCCGCAACTGATCTGGCCGAGCTCTGCGGGTATCCGGCGAACGAACGAGCTGACGTCACGACAGCCAACCATCCAGCCAGCCAGCAAGCCGCCGGCGTACCAGCTGATCTAATATAACCACTCGATGAGAGTACGCCACGTGGATTTCTGGTTCCGTGGACCACGTGCCGTTATGAATGATCGCCGATGAATGCCGCGCGACTCTCGACTCAAATCATCGCGGCGCGTCACATGAGCTCGCGGATCGGCGTTCAAACAATCGTGTCTGTCGTCGCGACGCGAAACAGTCACTTGCGAAAGCAACGATTCGTTGAACGTACGTATATATGTGCGACGACTGTTGCAACGACACTTTTGTTACGACAACAACGTCCACCACGTCGTCAAAATTCATGCAAAACGTGTAAACGAGTGACCTCATCGGCTACGAGATTACCTGATCGCGTCATCGACACGCCGCTCGCCTCGATTCATGAATCGACGATCGAGACACGCTCTGCGACATTGCGAAAGAAATCATTGACTTTCGAGGACACGCCGATGAAGTTAACGCGAACGAGAGATCGCGAATAACGTTCAGCACTGCGGCCACGCTTGGGTTATTGTAAAACGCTTGATTGACGGCCGTGGCCAAGGGTTGTCGCATCGCGTATGATGTACGATTATGCTTTTGCGCGCGCTTGCTTGCGGTTACGCGGCGTTTGAGTGACACTTACGAATGAGTAACTGTTCGTATTTCCGCGGAAGGAAATGGTCGCGAAACAGTCGGGACGAGGCGTTTTCGACAGATTTAAAGACGACACACCTGTTATTTTTTTTTACGTAATTTTACAGTCTTCTTGTTGTTTCGCTCGTAAAATCATAAACGTTTCCACCGCGTTATTCGCGATCGTGAATTTCTATTTGCATATTTAATTGGTATTCTGTAAATCTTTTACAGTGTATTTTACACCGACTTTATGTTCTGTGCGTTAACTTATCTTAATACGACTTTAAAAAATAACACTCAAGTAGAACGGAAGATATATAAATGTAAATTAATTCGCGATTTAAAGTAATTCGACTTGATCCGACACGATTATTCTTTATTAACGAATTTCGATAATTTTATACGGAAATACGATATAATTACACACCCCGTGTGAAAGAGGCCTTCTATCAGGAAGGCGTAGTCAAAGATAATTCTACGATCATTTTGTAAAAGATAGCCCTCACATCGACCCGCGATATAGACATGTGCCGAACGACTGTTTCGGAGCAAAGAGCAAGGTCACGGTCTTCCCTGCTGAGTCATCCACGGCGGTATATCCGCCATCTCGATCTGCCCCCGCCTTCTGCCTCTCTTTCTCTCGTTGCTTTCCTTACCGCCGCTCGTTATCGTATAATTTTCCAGCTGTTTGCTGTTTCCCCTTTTACTGACTTCACTTGCAACTTTACGATTCCGCGGAATGAGCAATGCATTATTAAGCACTTGGCTAACTCATTTATAAGTTAGCTAGGGCAAACCGAGCTGCACGATCAAACACAACTAACAATGGCGATATATCTTTGATGAATTTAAGAAATGCAATGTTGCGTCAATTTTAATGCGCACATGATTTCTGAATCGGGTAAGGATATATGGGCGGTGCTATTTCTACAAGCACAATACTATAGTATACAGTTTTTTCAAGTTTCTGCATGCGTGCAAGTTTCTGGCACGGTTATCAAATCTGAATGACTTAAGGCATTTTTTTCGTTTCGTAACCACGGTAGCGTTTGGTTGGTTAGTTTTATCCATTTAACGCTCGCAACGCCGCGAACGTCATTCTATCTTTGTTGCTCGAGGCGTTGCGAGCGTTAAGTGGATCAAACCAACCAACCAAACGGTATCGTGATCACGAAACGAAAAAACGCCTTTAATGAATCGTCGGTATTTATCAGAATGGTTCGGTGACACGCGCGAGAGAATTGCCATTCAGACAGAACCGGTAACAGACTCAGCGAACGTTATCCGATATGACGGAAGTCGATGAGATCAGTCGTATATCACTTTTATATAGTTACTAAACTAACGACGTTTATTGTGAAATCTAAAGTCGTGCTCACACGCATTACAAACTGTGATCGCTCTTATCTTCGGCCGTGATTATCTCACGAACGCAATAAAGATGAATGACATGTCCGGGCGCTTACAGTTAACAAATATTTCATACTCACGCTTTAATTAAAGTTTGCGTTCACATCACGTTGTAGCGTGCGGACAGTTGATCTGCACACGACGACGAAATCCATGCACGATGCTTCGATAGCGCGCATGCACTTTTATGCCGGTATTATTTATTATGCCATAACGACCTCACGGAGGCGCGTGTTATACTCGACGGGAATTCACTGCGCCGCGGAACGGTGAAATTAGACGCACGACGGAAATATATCTGCTGATGCGCGACGGAATTCTCAAGATTGCTCACGTGTGTATGTGACTGACTTTGTAAAACTCGATAAAGCACGTACATTTCATTCATTTCCTCTAGAATTGATAGATTGTGATAATTTAGCGATCATGTAATATCAGGTAATCTCTTGCCAAATTTTCAAAATTATGCGAGTCGACGTTTATATTTAAGAAAAAGGATGACGAGAGCCAAATGAAAATAATATCTAGTCAAATATATAATTGTATTGGCAAACCGCGAGTACCGCGGAACGAAGGTGTCTGCCACGTGTGAGGGTGGTTGGGAGCGCGCGCGAGCCAAGCGTTTGATGCAACCGAGAACCGTCAACGACGTCTCGCTTCATTGACCGCGAATTCAACCGTCCGCAAGTTGTCGCCGTCGCCCGCCACGTTTGGCGAAATAAAAACGAAAAAAAAGACGAGAAAAAGCCACGACGCAGCATCTCGTTTTCAATTTCCTTAAAAGCCTCCGTGATGTACGGAGACCGCGACGGAAAATGCGACGATACGGCTCGACTTCATGCGTGTCAAGCGACGCGTCGGTGTCGTTTCTTGCCTTTCACTCGCGTTGTTTTGTCCATATCTCTTCGTATCTCCGCCGTATCTCTTTGATAGTCGCACCGAAATACTTCACCCGCGACCGCTTATCATCCTACGGGAATGTCTGCATCGACATATCTCTCTTGGTCTCTTTCTCTTATTCTTCCTCCCTTTCTCTTTTCAATAACGATAATACGTGCGGCTGACCGCAACTGAGGTAATCGATAAGTCGACAGTTAAATATGTATTGTACCACAGAGTTCATCACATTGCACGATCCGACTCGTGCGTCAGATTAGAAAGAATGGCGTATACATACAAAAATATCTACGGACGATTTAACGTAACTCAATGGAAAGTGCTCTCTACTCTTTAGAAGAAGAATAGAATAATTTTTTATTAGACTGCCAATCACGTTACCCTCCGCTAACCGTGCTAACGGAAGCTCGTTGTTGTGCATTTTTTCAATTCCGCGGCAAAATATCAACAAATCCCAAAGTATAACGTACAAACATTTAATTTGTTGTACTTTATATGTTATAGAAGCGTTGAGACAGCTGAAGACGGCTCGGTGACCACCACGGTGACAGTCGCCGCGGTCGTAGACACAGTGGAGCAACCGCAGCAGCAACAGCAATCCAAGAGTAACGTCGGTGCCAGTCGACGGGTTGCTAGTCAGAACGTTGCGCTGAGCAACGGCAACGGTATCAATAACAACATCGGTCGTCTCACACCGCGCAGCCACATGGAGCAAGAGAAGCGAATGCGGCGAGAAATCGCCAACAGCAACGAACGACGTCGTATGCAAAGCATCAATGCCGGATTCCAGTCGCTGAGATCGCTGCTGCCGCATCACGAGGGCGAGAAACTGTCTAAGGTCTGTTTGATTTTTTCACATTAGCCCACCGACCGGAGTCGTGCGAATCTCGAGTGCATTTCGAATCGTAAAATCATAATCTAGTGGAGCCACGATAAGAGTATCCAAGATATTCAACTTTTAATTGCCAAACGAACGTATGATATACGTAATAAATGAGCGCGACGCATGAAACTTTCAGCTCCTCTTCGAACGTACGATAAACAAATGCCGTTGAACTCGAGATGTTTTGATAATTTTGAGAAAGAAGACATGAGATTTGTCGAGTCACATACACATACGCATATACATATTATGCATATATATAACATACATACACAGACACCACGGCTCTGGTCTAGGGTTGAGAATTACGTTTTCTGTACATTGTACCTCTGGTGCATTAGCTTCTCGTATATGAAGCCGAGTGTGCCGTTACGAGAATGTGCGGAGGCACACTTGGCGTCGTATCGCAAGAGTTGTGACCAATCCGTTCGGGTTGAAAATGAGAATTGTATCCATGCGAAAAGTGTCATCGTCATCGCCATATACCTCGTAGCCGCTTGCTCATTCGATATGTGAATCACTGTAAGAAGCGAATAACCGCTTCCTCCAATAAGTCTTACCTGTGCTGGAGGAAGAGTCGATGGAGCTTTAAGTAATGACGATCATATCCATTCATCGCTTCGTATACTCACTCGTCTTTCCATGGATACATTAGAAGGAATGCACAATCATTATATACTTGCATGTCTCGATGCGAGAACAAATATTCCGGCCTATAATACGCGAGAAGTAAAATCCACCTGATTACATTCGTCGTGTGAGTGTGAAATTTTTTACTCTCTCTGTTGAGAGAAAGAGAGAGAGAGCAAGTAAGTCGTGAGACATCACAGTCAAATTTTTGTCTTGGATTGAGGTTCATTGTTACACGAAGCTCATCGAACACGGACTCAATTTTGCGCGTGAAGATTCCTTCCGCGGATAGTCTAGTCGACGAAGATTGCATGACGATTAATTCGAGTTTCAATTGCACGATTGCTTATTGTACGAGCGATGTGTCTCATATCATCAGTCGCAAAATATTTTTTTTTCACCCCACTATCATTCTTGTCATCATTATCATCGTGAGAGCATCCATGCATCCAAATTTGCGAGATTCTCATTTCGCTCGTGTGCGTTTGCGAGACGTGGCGTGCGTACACGAAATCAATCTTATGCCGCACTCTTGCGTTCACGAAGCGAGAACAGACGTTGCCGTCGCAAATTGCAAGAGTGGGTCACGCTTTTGTTACTTTGTACCACCGCGTAGTTGCGATTACGCGAGCCCTGCCTCCTTTCGAACGTTAAACTTTGAGAACTCCTGCGACGCGCTCAATCGATATGTAACAATTTCGAATCGTTGGGACGTTGTGCGAGTATACGAATTTCGTTCGACAGTCTGGTCCGAGCGGAGTACCGTTAGGGATAATACGCCGGGAGGGTTACACCAATAAATACACCCCTTGGACGATCTCGTAACTTCGATTACGGACGATACGATTAAGCGGGATCTCGTTCACTTCTCCGCAGTAGCTTTGCTATATAATAATATTACAGTCAGAAAAAGGAGAGAGATATGATGCAACTACTATATATATACATAAGACCACTACTGCATGACCTTTTGCCTTGCAAGATGTTTTATATTGCATAATTTATATCTCCTCCCAGAGAGTAAACGCCTTCTTCCCCGATCTGTATTAGCGAACGTGTAGAGAATACCGATTGCCTCCTGTAATACGAACCGTAAGACTTGAAGCGGAACGATACCGCGGGCATGCAATGACGCTCGTTTAAACGACACAGATGGGCCGTAATTTGTTTCTCGCTCAACTTTGTGCACGTGTACTCATCATCGAGAAATTCTCTTTACGCTCGCCAAATGAGGAACGTTGGTGCGTATCTAGAAACTGTTAATCATATGTTTGATATGAAAGAGTGTACTGCGCTTCGGAGCTACCGACGTTCCCGACCGGAGGATCGAACGTTTGAGTGAACACGCGGCTCCAGCTGATCCGTGGAACACCGGAAACGACGTTTCGCTTCCTTCCTCGACAGATCCGTCGATAAAACTCAATCGGCGAGCGCGGCGTTACGCAACGTTGGCGGCTAGCAGCTCTCTTATGAATCGCCGCGCGCTTCGGCCCGACAAACTAATTTTAGCATGTGAAAGTCCGATCCCACGCCACGGTTAAACTAAATCCGCACAATCGACTCGGCTCAGCCCGTTCGCCTAGTCACGCCGGGGACTTTAATCGTTAGCCCCGTCGTGTGCGACAGCGACCGTATAATTTTTGTGCCGTCGAGACGCGTTGACGTCATCGCCGCGTATCAGCTGATACGAGCAGCCGTGATGGTCGTGCTCGCTGTTCGATCCGCATTCATATCTCACCTCCGGCGTGAAATGTAGCTGTTGGGTTTTCAGTCTGGACGATAACGTTAAACTGACATCGGCTTTCGCGTATTTTTTTTTCTCCTATCAATTTTTCTCTCGCATTTCTTTAAAGAAAAATATTTAACGACCAATAAAACAGATTTCAATTTAGAAATCTCGGAGCGAATGAACAACGAATTTCATAATTCTTCGTGTGAGTTTTACACGGATACCAACTAGATCTGCGATTCGAGAATCGTTCATAAAAATACACTCGTCGTCGAGAACGGTCGACGAGCGCCGTGAGGATATTGAGAAAGCGGCGTGGAGAGACGCGAAAATGAGGCACGCTAATAAAGTACCGCCGGCGCGCACTTGCAAAAATAGCACTGACTAAAAATTGCGCAATGTCGCTCGGACAACGCGATCACGCGGGGGTCAAGAGTTAATCGAGTATTTAGCAGGGAATGTGGACTGCACGGGCCGGGACAAGGCGCCAAACGCGCGGCGACGGCGACAGCGGCGGTGGCGGCGGTGCCTCGTGAGACGATTAAAGGTAGGCACACAATGCGCATGTGTGTCAGTCGGGACAAGAACCTCGAGAGTCGCGTGACTCGTAATTGGCGGTGTGAACTAACAGCTGATCTCGCTGATCGCGAGTCGCTGCATTGCGTAGTCGAGCACGTGTGCGTCACGTACACGTCGTATTGCATTCGCGTCGTCTCGTCCTCCATCGTCCGCGCAGATATATATCCCTAGAACTTGGCTTCTTGTTCGACCTATTCTTCGCAGGCCTTAGGCAAACGTCGAGATCTGGAATAGATATATCGTTGATCTTAGTATATGAGCGGGTGCTGTCAGAGTACACGCGCTTTTCAAATAAAACTCGGGAACACGCACGCGTCGATCGCGCATTACTATACGATAGTTTTCTATCGCGCGTGAAAGGATTTCTGTTCCGACACATATATCAGTTCCATTATTTCGCGACTTGGGCATTATTTTGATAGAGGTACAACAGCGCCCCGTTAGATACCAAGCTTTGTTCGAGTTGCGGCGGTCTTTAGCCGACACAGCTCCGGAGCTCGTTACTGCCAAACGGCGTTGCCCCATGAAAGGAGGCTCTAATTATCCCGCGCGATTCTTTCTTTGAAATTCCCCGTGACCTCGAAAGATAGTGTATAATATGTGCATCGGTCTCGCGCTCGCGCACCTTCGTGTGTACCCCGGTATGATCCGTGGAGTCGCCGGTGCTTTCGTATTTCGCTTATTATACGGCCGTTCACGCGCGCGTGCGTGTATACGCGCGCACTTTCGCAACGCGATATTTCGCGGACCAGTCGGCCGACCACATGGTTCAATTCCCACGCATTTCTCTCGCGCCTCCCCTTCCCCACCGGCCGCTCCGGTCCCGGCTTTTTTCGCCCCCTTTCCCCGTCCGTTTCTCCCTCCCACCCTATCTTCATCTCGCTCGCCTTCGTCGCCGGTTCTGTCCCTTCTTTCTTGGCGCGGCCGCGAAGGCCAAACTCGGACCGGCGATTTTCGCAAAGCCCTGGCCCACTGAAGAGCCTCCAGCCGGCTCTTTTGGCGATATTAACAACGAGCAGCAGGTCTCCAAATACGAATGCTCGATTGCTCGCCCGAACTTCTTGCTTATTACTTCCCCGTAATGGAGAAAGGCGCTATCGCGCGCTCTCTCGCCGATCGATCCTGCGAACGAACTCTAAAGAAGGAAGAAACGGAAACTCCACTTGCTCTATTTTGCCCTATCGGGACGATTTCATGTTTCGATTGTCTCCACCGTCGCCCGTGAAGTTACGTATTCGACTTTCCACTACACGGAGAGAATAGTATATATAAACGTTTTTTTTTCTCATTTAAATTCTTTTCAATTTTGCTATGGCTCTGGTAGTGCAGAAACGAATTATTAGTAAGGTTTATCTTATTAAGGAACATGGTAAATTTTGAAACATTGCAAATTTTTCAATAGCATATTTTAATTTCTAAAATATTTCATATTTTTTAAAATATGAAATATGATAGTCATTGCAGAATGTCACTATATTCTTCACTATATTCTTCAGTTACGAAATTCTTCTACTAACTTTCACTATAACACACTCTCCGTGTATACGAAACTTTTGCCTTTTGTATGTTTAAAATTGCGACACGTGCTCGTATATCAAATTTGCCAAATCGTACTTCTTAAGCGGAAAAGTCAATTGTACTATTTCTACGTAATATTTTGAAAACTACGTAATATTTAGCGATATTCGATTTTTTATAGAGATCTCAATTCAGCTGGTCCAATACTCTGGCTATCGTCGAATGAAAAATCTTCGAATCCTCACAGTGACATTCTTCATCTTATTATGAAATACACAATGGCATACGACCGTGCGTTTCTCGTGGGACATTCTCGGGCCTTTTGTGCGCAGCGCGCGCGCATCGGAAACGAAATAAAAGGAGGGCGCGCTCGCGCGCAAATGAGCGCAGACGCCTCGACCCATTTTCATTTAGCGCTCGCCAGACAGAAATAAAAATAAACCGCCTCTTCTCTCATGCCTTTAACGAAACTCGATTCGAGGCTGCCGCGCCGTGGCTA